CTGGAACTTGCCAAGTAAGTTAGGCTGGCCAACAGGGAACCTAGGGGACTTGCATGTTTCTACCTCATCAATGTTGGGATTACAAATGTATTTTTTACCATGCTTGGCTTTTTCTCCCTCCCCCGCCCCTCTGTTTTTCACATAGTTCTGAGATCAAACTCAAGTCTTCATGCTTGCATGACAAGCATTTTATTTATTTATTTATTTTATGTGCCTGCATGCATGTCTGTGTGAGAGTGTCAGAAGCCCTGGAACTGGAGTTACAGACAGTTGGGAACTGCCACATGGGTGCTGGGAATTGAACCAGGTTCTCTGCAAGAGCAGCCAGTGCTCTTAACCACTCTCCAGCCCCACATGACACTCATTTTATCTACTGAACTATCTCCTCAGCCCTAGTCAAGGTTTTTAAAAATCTTTTTCTGTAATATTATTATAGATATAGTGAAACTATGTAGTGAGGAGGATACATAGCCAATTGTTCAGCCTACAAAGAGCACTTGGGAGGCTGAGATGGGCGGATCTCTGTGAGTTTGAGGCCAGTCTACAGAGCAAGTTCTAGGACAGGCTCCAAAGCTACAGAGAAACACTGTCTCGAACGTACCCTGACCCCCCAAAACATTTCTGTGGGGTTGAGGCCAGGCTACAGAGCAAGTTCCCGGACAGGCTCCAAATCTACAGAGAAACCCTGTCTCGAACGTCCCCTGACCCCCCAAAAAATATTGGTCACTACAACCCTCTTGGAAGTTTCTTCTGGCATGCCACTAGACACTCTGTTTTGACATGTCTTTTTGTTTTCTTTCCCTAAATGAAGAACTAAAAGATTGTTATAAGACATCCACAATCTTTACATAGTTTGACCAAATTTTGCCAACTATGCTCATACTTAGACACACACACACACACACACACACACACACACACACACTTTTTTTCGAGACAGGGTTTCCCTGTGTAGCTTTGGAGCCCATCTTGGCACTCGTTCTGGAGACAAGGCTGGCCTCGAACTCACAGAGATCAGCCTGCTCTGCCTCCTGAGTGCTGGGATCAAAGGCATGCATGCAACACCATCACCCAGCACTGCAGCACCTTTTTCCTCCAAAACTCAGTTGAAGTTCACAAATCTTTATCTTTTGTCTTTTGACGGTAAGCCTCCCCTATTTTTACTATTTATTTGTTTATGTTTTTACTTTCACCATATTGACCTTTTTGATGAGCCCAGGCTTGTCATTATAGAATGCTTTTCATGCTGGATGTATTTGCTTTCCTTCTCATTGTTAGATGTGGTTTAAACCCTTTGGGTAGGAACACCACAAACATTGGAAATGTGAATCTCTCATGGCATTGATGAGAGAGGGCAATTATGTCATACTCCTACTGCAGGTGATGTTTCTTCTGACCTCTTGGCTAAGATGGTGACCACCAGATCTCTTTGGCAGAGATACATTTTCACTTGGGGTATAAGTCATCTGTGGGACAGACTCTCAGACATTGTTTCCTCAGTCTTTACATCCAGCCATGATCTTTGTTAACTTGGCTAATCCTTCCATGTCTACACTGATCAGCCAGCATTTTTCCATAAAGAAAAGTTCCCTTCCCTTCCCTTTTCATTTCTCTCTGAGTCACACTATGGACTAATGGGTTGTATTTTAATTTGATGCATTAGAAGCCATTACTTATTATGCCATTTTATGACCAAAGTGGTCATCAAACTGTCTCCTATATCCTTTAGGCAAAGCCTCATTGACTTCTTTGCTTTCAGATTCAACAAAAATGTTCTTTAGGCAAAGCCTCATTGACTTCTTTGCTTTCAGATTCAACAAAAATGTCCTCTTTGCCTTGTACTTACCTTTTCATCCTCCAAAGAGATTACTTTCCTTTTCTAGGGGAGTGGTGTGCAGAAACCAAGATCTGGAGGCTAAGTCTGCACACCCATTATTTTTATCAGTGACTTGATTAAAGGTCTAAGGAATACTTAGTCAAATTTACGATGACTTAAAACTAGAAAGGGAGGCACCACATGTATGATATTATAATTGATATTCAAAATGACCTGTGGGATAAAATCTGGGCCAGAACCAATAGATTTAAGAGTGATAATTTTGAAGCCTTGTGTTCAGTTGAAAAAGCTAATTGCATAATTTTAGGTTTGGGGCCCTGTTCACTAGGTAGAAATTGGTATCAAGAGATTGTTCTGGGTTGTTAGTTAATATGAGCTAGTAGTAGCCTGCGATTCTTATTACGTTTCATTCACTTCATTCCTTCAACCAATATTTATTGAAGGCCCGCCTACCATGTATATAGGCACCATTCCAGGTGTTCGGGAGGTTTTGAGCAGAAGAAAGCTGTGCCCTGATTTCTTTCATTTTATTTATTTAAGATTTTTTTCCTTTTTTTTTTTTTAAAACAAACTCTTTGTGGCTTTGGAGGCTGGCCTGGAACTTGCTCTGTAGACCAGGCTGGTCTTGAACTCACAGAGATCCACCTGTCTCTGCCTCCCGAGTGCTGGGATTAAAGACGTGTGCCACTACTGCCCGGAGTATTTAAGATTTTTTGAGACGGAGGCTCATGTAGCACTGGTTGGCCTCTAACTTGTTTTGTATCTGAGGTTGCCCTGGAATTCCTGGTCCTCCTGTCTCCACCTGCCAAGTGCTAGAGAATTAAAGGCATGTACCACCATTTCCATCTGGCTTTTAAAAATTATTTTTAAGCCAGACCTGTGGCCCACACCTTTAATCTCAGCACCTGGGAAGCAGAGGCAGGTACATCTCCATGTTTTACAAAGCCAGTTCCAGAACAGCCAGGGCTACAAAAACAAAAAAGAAATTGTTTTTACATGTATCTATTTAGTGTCTCAGGCACACACAGGTCAGAGGATAGAACTTTGGGAGTGCATTCTTTCTTACCATATGGGTTCTGGGATCAAATTTAGGCTATTAAGTTTGACAGCGTGTCTCTCCACTGAAACATGTCACTGAACCATAGTCCCTGACTTTCATTTTTAGGGACTCTGGCTACTGTGTTGAGAAGAGATTGTAGAGTAACGGAAGAAACATTGAGAAGACCCTTAGTGTAGCCAGGGGAGCAAGGGTGGGAGGTAGGGAAGCAGTTAAATTTTGGATTTTGGGTTTGCTAGTGGGTTTGGATATGAGAAAAGACATGAGACTATAAAGACTGTCAGGGTGGTGATGGTACAGAAACTATGGGACATAAATAAGTCTGTTTTTAAGCAAGGAGACCTGGGACCACCAAGCACCTGTCTGCCCTCTACCTGTGGGAGAGGATGTGGGGAACAGTGGGGGTGGAGATGGGAGGACAACTATGTTGCTTTGAGACTGCTGATAGTGGCAGCGGGTGCAGAGTAGCTGTTTGACCACTGCAGAAAGTTCTGGGTGAAATGGTCTCATTGCCACAAGAACAATGAACACAGATTCTCAAGTTTTTAATTCTGTCCACGCACCTAGGAAAGCTGAAACGGGTTCCCTAAACCTTGCTGTCTCTTTGTTGATATTCCTTCCCATCTCCCACCTCCTTTCGTCCCTTTCTCCCTCTCTACTTAAGAGCCACCAAATTGACCTCAGGCCCTGTACCTGCGGGTGAGTATCTCTGGCGGCGTCTTACTCCATCCTTAGGTACTCCTTTCCTATGCTCAGCCACGTGCTGGTTGTGGGGAAGGTCCAGCCTCCTTGGCAGTGCAGTCCATGAAATCCTATTATCCCACTTGAACTAATTTTGCACCGCCCTGGGCTTCGCGTGGACAGAATTCTAAGCATAGACAACCCAGCAGAGTATCTAGATTCTAGACCATGCATAGACCTCCCGCCGAAGT